ATGCCGCGAGTTACCACTTGCTTTACCCAGCGACTCTTATTTGTTTTCAAGTTTTCAGAAGCAAAAATATCTATTAGAATCCATTCACACCATAATTCACAGAAGCAACTTGCCTTGAATGCTTCTAAATGTTAAATACGATAAAGACAGCGTGGAACCAAAAGTCAAGCAAGTTGATCAGCATGGGACCAAAAGTCAAGCAAGTTGATCAAAATATCAACTCCTTTGGAGGCTTCTAAAAGTCAAGCATGATCATGACAGCATGGAACCAAGAGTCAAGCAAGTTGACCAAAATAGCAAATAATAAAACAAGAACATTGACATACCTAACTGAGGTGGGACCGTGGGAGACCAGCAATGAAGTATGTTTCTCCCTGTTTCGCATGGTCTTCTGTACATTTTTTTAGAATAAAAAATAGAACAAATCATGCTTGTACAACCAAAGATTCACATGCCTCCCCACCAAAACTTCACACCTTTCTCAAATCGTATTTTTTTTTTTTTTTATGATATGTTGCATTTTCACATTACTGAATATATTCAAGCAGATTAAAATTTTTTTTATGGATAGATGAATTTTATTAAACGGGGTACAAGCAGTAGCCCAACGCATATACTGATATACATTTAAACCAATCTGAAAAGACGTCTAGTCCATAAGAGATTCTTAGCAGACAACACTTACAAAACACTTCATACTAATGCACTTTGTTGGAGTTGTGGTGTCAGAGCTGCAACAGTGGCAGCAAATGAAAAAAAGGGAGAGCTGCACCAACAGCACAGTAGCAGCAAAGTATGGCAATTTGGAGCTGCACAAAATGGCAGCAAACTTCTACATCTTAGTCAATGTGTAAGGTAGAGGTTATGGTATTAAGTAGAAATTACTATTTATATATTATGAGATTTTTATTATATAAGTTGAGATTTATTACTATTTTTTAAATAAAAAATATTTATTTTTAATAAATATAAAAACAAGTGAATAAATTTAATTATTAAAAATAAAAATATATAAATAATTAAAATTTTAATGTAAATATGATATATAAAATTTATGTGTAAATAAATTTTACGCATATAAATATGTTTGAGTGCTAAATGTTAAAGGTGATCACGACAGCACACAATACAAATTCAAGTATTCCTAGACAGAAGAAGAAGACTTGAACATTGAAAATTGACTTACCTGCTCGACTTGTGAATCAAATACATGATCACATCAAAGCCACAGATGATTCTCCCTAACCTGTCCTGCCACAATAATGTGGAAGATTGTGAGATCACATATGGTGATATTAGTCAATGGTAGGTGGTAGGGCACCAATTAATGTATTACCGTGAAAATCACAACTAGAAAAGGCAAATTTTCAGACTAATATATTGGTATGAAAATGACAGAAAACAATTTAGTGATACATATTCAGATTGATATTGATTTGAAAAGTTGGATTGAAAAAACCTCATATGAGACAAATTCTAATTAGATCAACCATATGTCGGTCAAAATATTTGACTTTTTCAGACCTATTGCGGTCTGAGTAATTAAGCCAAAACAACAATGTTTCGATTAATATATTGAGTGAGATATTAAAATATTAAGTCAAGCTAGACCACAACCAATTTGAATAAATATGGACTCAATGTTAAAAATAGAAAGTACCATTCGTATATTGAGGTTTTTACAAAATCTTATTTAGACCGCTAATGGTTTATATTATTGTGTACTAAATTGTTAAAACATAAAAAATGAAAGTTTTTTTTGCCAACCATGGATAGTTATTCCATACCATTATCGATATGAAATTAAAGGCTTTAATAAAAATAAATAAATTATTTTATTTAGAAACTATATAATATGCTTTAAAATATCTAAAATAACTATATATATATTCACTACTATTATCATGTGTACATATTAATCATTCATTAAAATAAATTTGAAATATTTAATGAAATTATATAAAATTCAATAAACAACAAGAATTAAGATATATAAATGTTACAAATTACATAAATATATATCATTACATTATATAAATAAAAAATTAAAGTAAACTTATACCTGCACAATTACAATAAAAAATTATGTAAACTTAGGAATGTAATTATAGCTAAATTAGATATATAAATGTTATGATTAATATAATCGAAAATAAATATAAATAACAAATTTTACATCAAAAGAAAATTAATAAATACACAATTTATTTTTCTAATTTTAGATTTTAACTTTGATCATTTACTACAAAACAAGAAAAAGAAAAATAAAATAGCAGATATAAAACAAATTCCCCAAAACATGAAAAACAATAAATAAACAATTTGTTTTACCCATTTTAGATTCTTATTTTCATCATTTCCTACAAATAAAAAAGAGA